GACCCTACACATCACATAACACATATGGGTCACAACCAATTCAATCCGTTCTTTAATTCACATGTTCCTCTTTAGGCTTTGTTCTTATCCCTTTAATTCATTTACAATGCTTAATGCATGCCTAAGAGTACTTAGAAGTGAAAGAGAACGGAAAACGAAACACAGGATGCATTTTCAAAATTTCGGAAACAGGAGGTCCCCATTCAAGCATGGACTTCCCCGCTCGAGCGGACCCTTGAGGCCTGTAAAAGTACTGGTTATGTCATATTTACGTTCGATCGCGAATTCTGGCGCTCGAGCGGAAGGCCTCACTACATGGCTCCCCGCTCGAGCATGAACTTCCCCCACTCGAGCGGACGTCCATGTCTGCAAAAATGCTGGGAGCCCGTTTTTCCCGCTCGAGCGGCGGTTCCCCCGCTCGAGCGTACATAAAAAATTATGGGTTTTCCAGAATGGTTCTTGAGCTCAAATTCAACATTCCAACCGACATTTCTTGTATATGATGGCTCAAACTTCATATAAACATGTACTAACATCGTACAAACGCCAAATTACAACACAATGAAGCTCAATTCCTTGAATTACTTACATGCATGCCTCAAATTGACCTAAACTCATCACCCGCACATTAAATTCAAAACATTCAACTCACACCTCCATGATTTGCATATGCATGTGGGAGATACTCATTATTCTCAACTTAATTGGTGAAGAGATGATCAAATACATGGACTTAAACCAAAAATTCAACATGGATCATACATATTGTGCTTAAATATGGAAATTCAAAGCAATTTCTTACATGCATGTACATATTGGCTTCCAATTCAACAAAGCCATCTCAATCTCATTTCAATTCTTACTCTTGATCATTAATCAACTTGAATTCACAAAATCACAACATTAAACTCATGAATTAAGGGTTGATTACTCACTTAGGAGCTTTAATCTTCCAAACTTATGCTTAATTCTTGAGTTACACTCCAAAATCTTCAAGCTTCTTGAGAAATCTTCAATCTCCTACACTCTCTCTCTCTAATTCAGTTCTCTTACTCTCTAAGGAGCCCAAATCAGTCAAATGAAATAAAAGAGAGATATTGAGTGTATAGTGCCCTTAAGGCAAGTCCCACTAATCAAAAATATCAATATTAAATAATTGGGCACTTAATTAATCGTTCTGAATCTAATTATTCTGATCCGAATCAATTTCCAATTAAATTTCACCGTAGGCTTTAAAAATTACACTAATCACAATGGCGTAGTCAATTTCGGGTTTCGTGGCCGATAAGGCCTTCAATTTGATTCCCAAAGCAGATATTCCTACGGTGAACAGATAAAAATTCAAAACCACATATTTCCACATAAATGATACACATAAACATATCAAACACATAATCATAT